ACGAGTGTTTCCTAAATAGTTGGGGGACATAACGCAAATGAACACAACATTGAAGGGCAACATAAAACATTCCCTTTCTTTTTTCACCTTTCGACACTTTCGTTAATTTGTACCGTTTCTCAATTTGTCCATGTTATCCTTCCACAGGGGCCATTCTAATCTCCTTTCTCTGTATGGTTTTCCAACTTTAGCATTCCCGGGGACGAAATCCACCGGCAAGGATCAAATGTTATGCCCCGTTGATCTTCGTTATTTACCAGCCAAAGGATGAGGGCCCTTGCTCTTTGCTACGGCCATTTCACTGCTGAAGGAGCAAAAGCCGCGTGGGGCAGGCAGAAAAGCAAATGTGCATTGGGTTTTGCTATCGGTTCTCTGCTCTCATACACAGCAAAGCAATCGCATGTGACATCACCATTGCCCACCCTCCACAGCAGCCCCTTGCCACACTACTCACCGAACGTGCTAAAGGGTGAGTGTATCTTAGGCTAGAAGATGGAAATGCACTCTCACCACTGTTCTGGCTGTTCCATTCCACACGAGGTGAGTGGTGGAGCAAGGAGGCTTCATAATCAAGCAGACAGTCAAGCTACCACATACCTGTCCCTCCGAGAGCTTGGCCAGCCGATGTGGGCACTTGTCCTCCACACAACGGACTATCCCTGCACTATCTCTGTACAGCACCAGTGGCTTGTCAAAGATAGTAATGGGCACGGGTTTCCCGTCAGGGAATTCCCGGGAATACCAGACCGGGTACCACTCCGCCTGCCAGTCGTAGGGCACCTGTTTTTGGCTGTCATCAGCATGCCGTTGGGGTTCGTCCAGCTGATAGCTTCCCACCTCCTCCCCTCCCTCTTGCTCTCCTGCTTGAGCTGTGAATCCCATATCTGCTGTAGCTGCACGGGCTATCAAGCTCATGCCGGAATTGATGTCAACTGCTGATCGTTTCTGACGACTGTTCAGACTTGCGTGATCGGGCTGCCACAAACTTCTCTGGCCTGCTCCTTCCCATCCTGCTCCTCCTCCTCCTGTCCCGCATCTCCTACCTCTTGATAACCATCTCTCACCTGCCCCAATCACCCATTGAGTGCATGCGAGCTGCCGTAGGCATCGACGTCCACCGCTGTGCGTTATTGACGAGGGCTCCCGGAACAGCTGTGTCTCGTTGGCTACCAGGTACTGAACTTGATTCCGAAACAAGGAGGTTCCCACGTGAAAGATGGGAGATAGACTCACAGCCGAAGAAATCAGCCGCACTCTTGTAGTGTTCTGCTTCTGAGGAACAAAGCTTTCTCTGTCACTTGCATCACCATGGAGCTTCCACGTGGAGAACGTAGATGGGCAAAGGGCCGACCCGGCTGCCATAGCTGCTGACGGAACGGAGAACCTGATCACTCTCTCTCCCCACCAAGGTTCACACGTTTAGCTGCACAGAACAGTGTCAAGGTTGCTACTTCGATCCCAATCCCAACCACCACAACCACCTCACATCCACCATCAGTAGTGAGCTTCCTAGGGCAACCAAGGTTCACACTGTGGTCAGGCGCTTTCAACTGTGCTCTCTGTGCGTAATTAGTAATTACGGCATATGCGTCCAAGATCAGCCACAATTGCAGTCAGATACATCTAGGAAAGTCCTAGAGTGTCAGAGTATGCCCTTCGCTGCAGCTGCAGATGGCGCCGCGCAATCCGCCGCACGTTGTCCTGGTCGTACAAATATCATCCATTTATCCTCATATGTATCCAGTTGCTCGTGTTCCACCACAGCTGCACAATCCGCCTGCGCCGCTTGTCAAACCCACATGTATTCTGTGGTTGCCATGAGAAATTTCCAGATTTAGAAGAATCATCACAGTTGTAAGTCACACTTCGTAATTGAATGGATTCAGCCATTTATATATTGTATATTTTGTTATATTTTTATTTATCTGTGTTTTCAGGAAAATTCAGGAAGACTTGAGCAGCCCACAGCCTAGGGAAACTGGGTTTTTCAGGGGGCGTTCCTGACCAGGCCTTTTTCTTATACCCAGCACAGGCGCCCTCTGGGCACTTGGAACTAAGTCACGAGTGCAGTGGCCATTTTGGATAATGTCAGGCCACCTGAAGAAAAGAAGGGTCACAGCGGTAATCCTGGGTTTTACTTTGGCCCACCAGACAGGCGGCGGTTTTGGATTCGACGTTCTGGGTACTGTCAGACTACTCTGTGATGAAATGGGCCGCAACGGTAATTTTGGGCTCTAGCCTTGGCCTAACAGTCTAGGTCAGTCTCTGCAGTGCGATAGATGGTGGCTATTCATGTCCAGCTGCTCCCGCCATCCGATTGACGTTCCTTTCAAACTTGTTCCTTCCACTCAAGAACATACCGAGCAGGGAAGGGGGGAGATGTCTTCCATGATAGAATGTCATCAATGAATAGATATATGAATGCATATGCTTGCACAGTGCACAGATCTCACTGACGAAGTTCATTGATGAACATTGCTTTATTCCGGTAGAGCGTGAGGTTGGCAATTTCTGGTCCGGTGTTAGTGCCCATACAGATACTGACCACCGGATGGCACAGAGTGCTAAATTTATTATTATTATTATTAATTTTCTAATTAATATATTTTTTTTAATTAATTTCAATTTTAATTAATTAATTAATTAATTAATTAATTAATTAATTTACTTTTTATTTTTTATTTTTTATTTTATTATTATATATATATATATATATCGTCAAATAGAACTGCCCGGTAAACCGTAGGCAGAGAGGGAGAAGAGGACAACAAACGAGGGGCTGTGACAAACTGTTTCGTCGGAGTTTCACCGACTCATCAGGAGTATATATATATATTCAAATGGCAGCCAAAGATCGTATGATCCAGGCACTCCGGCCTGGTTCATACGACGGCTGCTGTTGAATTATAAAAGCCGGAAAACGGGTCCGGCGTCCCTCACATCGTAGAATAGGCTCAACAAAACGAACATAAAAAAGGAAGTATGCCGAAACCCTAAGTACACCAACGCTAGAAACAAAACCGTCCATCCACGACGGCTGCTGTTGAATTATAAAAGCCGGAAAACGGGTCCGGCGTCCCTCACATCGTAGAATAGGCTCAACAAAACGAACATAAAAAAGGAAGTATGCCGAAACCCTAAGTACACCAACGCTAGAAACAAAACCGTCCATCCACTGTTGAGCACCAAACCCTGCGTGTTCAGACCCCGCAAAGCCCACCCACCTCCTCGCGATTTAGAGCGGATAGCACCACCACCGATACTCACCTACCGAAATCACCAACTCCCACCATGATGGCAATTTCACTAACCAGCGGAAATACCCTACCACCCGCACGGCAGGGGCCAGAGACCCCGCAGACCCACCCACCTCCTCACGATTTAGGGTACACCACTCCTCTCGTCTGCATTTCGCCTCGCAATGGGGTCTTCACCGCCCACCATGATGAAGCACCCGCGGAGCGACACTCACCAATCCCACTCAATATGACAGGATGTCAGAAAAAAAACCAACGACATATAAAGAGACAAAACCGAGAATATAATCCATGCATTAACGAGGGAAATCAAAATTCCTACTGACACGTACAATTCCATCCACAACCGAACAGAAACGTAGCAACAAAACAAACAGGGTTGCCAACCTATGGGGGCACACAGTCCTGTTCAATGTAAAAAACAAACCGACAGAACACCCCACCTCCCGCGCGGCAAGGGTTGAAAACCCCGCAAGCCCTCCCACCTCCTCGCGACATGGGGCGAACTGCTCCACAAGTCTGCTTCCACGCCCTAAGAAACCCCACCGCCCACCATGGCGGGGTCACTGCAGCAAGAAGCTCACTCGTACGTATCCCAACTAAAGCACATCAAAGCCGCTTCACCTAAACGCAAAAACAAAACGACCAAAAGAACATCAATAAACCAGAAACCACACGCAAAAGCATAGTACCTAACACAAAACCGAAAATGAAAACGCTCGCCTAACACAGCCAAGCAAACCAACAAAAACTATGAGACTGAATGCACTCACTTACTGCGACCAACAAAACTACAAAACTGAATACGGTCGCCTAACACGGCGAACAACAAGATCAGAGCAGGGCTTCTCGAGTCGCCCAAGCTATGCAGGACAGCACAAACGATCCGGCCAGACGAGAAGCTCGCTTGTTCCGTATCTACGACCAGGGGGCCAGCGCCCCTGATCGGGTTGCATCTCTTGTTTGTTGCAGCGTGCGAACCCTGCCCCGCATTCGTCCACACATGCTTCTCCATCCCGTCACGAACCAACGAGGATTGCCGGTGTAAGCCGACCAAGGCCAGAAATGGCTGGAGGCATGATGTCACGCCCAGTAGACTGCTATCCCCCCGCGCCCTTGCGCCTTCACCCCTAGCGTCCGCGCCACCTCCGGCAGCAAGTTCTGGCATGCATGCTGCGCTTGTGTTTGCGCTGCGTGCGTTAGCGGTCCCCCGCTGCTCGACGCCGCCGACCAAATTCCTACCCAGTTTATAAGTTTATTTTTTTTAATTATTATTATTATTTTAAATTTATTTTTTATTTTTTATTTTAATTTTAAATTCTATGTATAAAATTTATTATTTTTTGGGGGAAAAAAAAGATTGAAAAAATGGTCTTTGTGTGTGTGTGTGTGTGTGTGTGTGTGTGTGTGTGTGTGTGTGTGTGTGTGTGTGTGTGAGCTGAAGGACACTACAGCCATGTTGGGGTGCGGTGGATATCATGACCGGTGTCCCTTTTGTGCACTGTTGCATTGCTGTGGTGCTCAAGGAACTCGTCCCTTGAGGCTAAGGGCGCCGGTTCGAATCCATGGTTTCACTGAGGAGGTCCGAGGCTCATAAGCCCGGTAAGACTATGTCGGGAAGTTGGTACGTACTGGGGTATTTTGAGTAGTTGGAACGGGACCGTGTAGGTGTACACTGCAAAGATGACTGGTCCAATTGACGGGAAAGGTATTTTGCAAACTTCTTTTATTGTCAGAAGGGCATTCCACTTCACCACAATCTTTTAAGGGCATTTTGGTGTTTGTCTCATCTTTGGGGGGTGTATTACAAACTTGCCTGGGTTACCGGCCGGCCCGCCCAGGTTGCCTCGGATTGGCCCAGGTGGCCCGCCCGGGTCAGGTCCGGGCAAAGTTCCAGTCAAGGTCCCCGGCAGTCCCAGCGCAAAAACCAAAAAAAAATTCAAAAAAGTGCAAGGAATATGAGTAGGAACGATATACAGAAAGACAAGTTGCAAAATCACACAGATGTCCAAGTAGTCGTGTACAAGCAGAGAGCACAAATGCACCGAGATTCCATCCAAATAAGAGCAATACAATGAAGTCATGGGCCAATGTTCTAGCCCTCAGGCCACACCAACAGAGTATCCAAAGTCGCCCCTCTCTGTCTGGCGCCCAGCGCCCAGCCTACACTACTCGACTATCCTACCTACATCAGCATTCTCACAACAGGCTCACTTCGACTCTTGAAGACCAATGTACATGACATCAACACCATAGCCGACCTCTCTCATGTACCAGGTATGTATCTCGTCTCCCCTCATCAGACCCTGTCCACCCACACTCGCCTCCTTCCTGAAGACCACCGATCGCCCTCTTACCCCCTAGCGCCCTGCAGCCCGGCTATGGCTGCTAGCGCTCCGCTGCCCAGCAGCGCCCCTCTCACCTCTCATGTGCCCTGCAAGCGCCCTGCCCGCAACGCAGCAGCGTGACCGCATTGCCTGCGTAGGCCAGAATGCCAGACCCTAGCTGCCTTCCTTCCTATATGGAAGTGGCAGCCTCTGTTTGGCTCCGTGTGGTCTGGCTGGGAAGCTTCCAGTAGCTTCCGGTCGGGCCCTAGTGCCTGCGCCCAGGCCCAGTGCGACAGTTGAGGGCCTGAGCCCTTTACAGTTGGGCACGGCCTGAGTTTCCAGACTTGGGCCATTTGCTGCATTTGCACAGGACCCGGGGTATGTACGTTGACCATGCTGCTTTTGCGTAGGCCTGTAGCCACTTCGTGACGTATCGGCCCTGCATTGTGTGTATGTGCCCAGGTGCAACTGTCAGGGCCTGGGCCAAACTGTACAACGTAGCTTAGGGAGGCTCACGCGTCCACTCAACCAACTGGCGTGCTGCAACAGCCTGAGTACCCACGTATGGAAAATGTCGAATTTTCCCCTCTAGTGAATATTCACGCCCGCCTTCACTTAGGGCGGGCACTGGGGTTGCTGAGGCCCTCTTCCCAGAACATCTGCTTGTTTGATAAGGGCCTCGCAAGGGCTCATTCCTCGCAAAAATCTGGATTTTTAAAAGAAAAAAACTATGTCATGCAGAATTCCAAAGCAAGGACTAATCATTGGCCAGTAGCTGCACCTCCCCTTTCATCTCCCTCACCCCCATCGAGTAACATCAGTGTCTAAGGCCAACACTCTCCCACACACCACATGCAACCCACTCACACTCGCACTCACGCCCCAACCCTGCACCCTAAACCACCAGGCAATCGCCAAACATGCAATTACCTCCCTCCACCGAGAGAGGTAACCTCCCTTCACCAAGAGAGGTAGATAGCTATGCTTGCAGGGGTCCCCCGTATAGTGCTAGGAGTAGTGGTAGGTAGGTCATGAAAGATCAGAATTTGAGAGAACAATGTAGTGTAGTTATTAAAAATAAAAAATAAAAAAAATCGAACAACTTTTTTTCACTCTTTTTTTTTTCTTTCTGAACTTTCTTTTCTTTTTACAAGATGGGTAACGTGCCCGGTGTCCCTCACATCAATTTGGCGGGTCAAAAGCATGGTCGAGGCACACAATC